CTACTTTTCTACATACTAAGAAAGTGTATTAATAAGAGAGTATATCTTAAATATTCTCACTACAAAATATATATATAAAGTGTCCTTGTTGGGTACGGCCTTGGGGGGGGGGGGGGAGCACACAGGATATGCCACAGAATACACTCAAGGCTGGTGGGACTTCCCCCTTTCCATCTGCTTCTTCAGCCCAGAAGCAACAGCTCTATCCCATACTTAGAATATTCTCAAACCATCGCAGTTTCCTCAATATGTTTCTGCTTCATTTTTCTTATGCAATTATATATCCTATCAAACTTTTTAATATAATACATTCTCTCAGTATTTCTCTTTTATAAAACTTCATATCTTTGCCTTTGTGCTTTCCTCTGAATTCTCTACCTGTATCACTTTATTTTTTTCTACCAATCTTATTTTAGTTATATGAACCTGTGACTGACATAGTATTAGTAAAAAAAATTAAAATTTTAAATATTCTTGAGTAAAATTTTTCATGATACAGTGGAATATTTGTTTCTAAAAACATCTGAGTGGAAGAGCCATTAGCATGTACTTTTATTCAATGATGAGCAGAAGCTCACAATTTAATATTCCAGATTGGCCAAAGGATGACTGTTAGCCTCATCAGTGATATCAGATTTCCTCACATGAATGCAGCACTGAAACTTTCTTAACAATTAGAGGACATTTTGAAAAGATATAAATTCCCAAATACTTAAATATACTGAAAAAAACTGACTCCTCATGAATACATTCATCTTAAATTAAGGTAATTAGACACTTGAACATTTCAAAATGCCATGTTTCATTAGTTGTGATTTTTTTATAAAGAAGGCTTAATGGTATTAATAACCATCTTATGCCATATGGAGAGGTGACATATATAGTTGCATTGGTATCAAGGACCTTAAATGGTGAAGTTAAAAGGTCTTGGCTAAAGATTTTTAAATCACTTGAACAGACTTTCCTCCTCTTAACTCCCACAGGTTTGACTAAATAATGACTGGTTAAGACAAGATGCAGGATTTGGATGGACTCCATAAGTGACAAGTCTCCAATATTATTTAGAACACAAATCATTTTATGGTGTTCATTTTAAGTTACTATAGCATTTATAAAACTGGAACAAGATTTCTCAAAGTACACTAAAGTATAAAAAAAAATTTTGTCAACCAAAGAGTAATATAAAATCATTTCTCCATAAACCTATAATTTGCTGCTGAGGTGTATGAGAAAGGAAGAAAGGAAGGAAAGAAGGAAGGAAGAAAGGGAGGAAGGAAGGAAGGAACGAAGGAACGAAGGAAGGAAGGAAGGAACGAAGGAACGAAGGAAGGAAGGAAGAAAAGAAAGAAGGAACACAATTTAGAACAGTAATCTAGAACCAGAGACTTCCATTGTCTTTACAATACCTATAAACGTACTGAGTGCCACCAGCAGCCAGTCAGGAAGCAGCTGTGTGAATCTGGATCACAAAAGTGCATCCTGCCGGGCAGCTGCCTTCATTCCTCCTTCCCACCATGACGCAGGTAGCACCCACTCAATAATGCTTAGTCTTATTGTTTGCTTATGAAAACCATTTTATGAACTAATAAAGTTAGTAAAAATAAAAGCTTGACAGACTTTAAAACATAGTGGAAGTACAGGATGTCTACAAGTACATTTTGACCAGTTCTCTCATCAGAGTGTCAGAAAGCAATTCTTTAAAATCTTTACCTTATATTATTGTGCCTATGGTATGAAATGCATCATAATATTAGGTGTGTGCTACACCAATGGTTAGGTGCATAATGAGATACCAACCACCAAGTAACCAACCCACAGAGCAAATGAAAACTCTGCTAGAATCTAATCATTTCTACGAATATTCCAATGGCATAGGGCTTGGGATATGGCGCAAGTAATACAACCAAATATTCTATTGGGAAAGTAAAAGGAAAGAAAGGGGGAGAGTAGTAGAACAATTTTTAGAGCAATGTTGATTCTTAGAGCACAGTGCAGCTGAAATCTATTTCTAACATATTTGTCCTATCCTCAGGGCCCTGATGATCTATGCCACAGACCCAAAGGATCTTTATTTTGTGCTCCTAAAATGCTATAACCAATGTACCCCTGGCCCCTCTTCAAAGCTCCACAGGTCACTCTAAGCTTTCCCAGTTTTAAAGTTTCATTTCTAGCCCGTTTTTGTTGTTGTTCCTCAGCCTAGAGGTGATAGCATTCTTGTGTTACCATTTCCATAACCGCTCAGTGCTCCCTCTGCCTTTTCAGTTCTCTAAGATCCACTTTCCCTCATATTCCTTTCCCTCAAAAATAACTCATTATCTTCTGAGTACATACGACATTCTGTTGTGAGTTTTGACTTTGTTTTGACTTTGCTCACTGTTTAACAGGAGCTAATCAAATAAGAAGTTGGCACCCTTGGCCAACCTCTGGTTCAACAATATTTAAAAGTAAGCATTCAGAATTAACAAACTGTTTTCACTCTAAGTACAAAGCCCTATGATAAAGCCTTCTGACACATATCTCTTGTCTCAGAAATGAGCTAACTGTGTTATTTATCCATCCTTTGACAATCTTATCCTGTGAGACAGAGTGGCCTCAGGTTGGAGTCTAAACTAAACAGAACTGACCTGCTCCAACTTCTCTCTGGTTCCATTCTGACAGTAATTCCTTCAACAGGAATTGTGTCCGTGGGGGTTTTTGTTGGGAGGGGGGATTGTTTTGTTCTTCATATTCACCACTACATGTTTAATACAAGGGTTAATACTAAAAGCTCAAGGGAATCTTTTTTGTTTTGTCTTTTTGTTTTTTTATTTGGGGGATGTGTGTGTGTGTGTGTGTGTGTGTGTGTGTGTGTGTGTGTGTGTGTGTGTGTGTGTGTGTGTGTGTGTATGCTTGCACATGAACACAATGCACATAAATGTGCCAATCCTAGGGCTTGAACTCAGGGCCTGGGCACTGTGTCTTAGCTTTAATTGTCAAGGCTAAGTAACCTTCTACCAGGTGAGCCACAGCTCAACTCAGGCTGGTTTTGGTTTTTGGTTTTTGGTTTTTTTGGGGTTTTTTTGTTTGTTTGTTTTGTGGGTTTTTCAAAAAGTTTATTGGCGATAAGAGTCTCGCAGACTTTCTTGCCCACACTGGTTCAACCAAGATCTTAAGATCTCAGCCTCCTAAATTTCTAGTCATTATTACCCCACACAAAAAATCCTAGACCAAGATTTTACATCTTAAATTCTGTACTATAAAATGAGAACTTTGGCACATGCACTACCATTCAACATCTTGACTTATCATTTTGTTGAGCTCCGCAAATTAATGACTCATGTGTTTACTCAGCCTGGGAAAACTATCTATTTTTGACATCAACTACTCCTATTATTCCTTTGCATTCTGTTTCTAGACTGCCTAATAAACATACCTGGTTTGCATCCATCCTCCATTTATCCTATTCGCAATACTTTTATCTTTTTATATTCAACTAATGCTGATGCTACAAATTTTTAAAAAGAAAAATACTTCTTAGGGACCTTATAAAATAAAAAGAGGTGTACATCTAATTTCTTTCTGTGGAACCAGCTGTTTTTAGTGTGAAAATATTTGGAAAATTAAAGTGCATACTCTTTAGGATGTCATGCATATCCATGTACATAATATCGAGGAGGCAAACTTCCTAATACTCTTATTTGAAGGGTAAATTATAAAACTACTACATTATTTCATATATTTGAGGACTTATTCAAATTTTAATTTGAGAGTAAAAATTGTTTTCATTAAATACATATTACACACCCAACTCTTCCAAGGATCTATGATTTGCAAAAGGATTAAACCACAAATGTTTCTGTGACTAAATTTTTCCCCCTTGGGGAGCCAGAGTCTCACCTAATACTTTTAATTATCAGAATTGTAAAAAGGATAACACTAGAATAAAAGCGTTTAGATCCAAAAAGAAACTAAGTTAGAAGATTAAAAATAAAAATTAGGACAAAGCAATTGGAACAACTCTTTCTCTTTAGAACAGACCTGCATTCTCATTTCCAACTACAGACAAAGTATATATACACACTTCTACCAGGTGCCTTCAGAAACTTCTACTGTTCTTTCTCACCCCATAGTACTTCTTAATCTACTCTGATCTAAAAATATGCATACTAGAAAAACAGTACTTTTAATATATTTCATCTAAAATGAATTAGGATGTATGTATAGCAATGAAGTACTGAAGAAATAAAATCCAGCCCTAAAATATCCTAAGATAAAGACATGACCTATTAGAAGGCAAACTTACTTAAAATTACTGAAAATATATTACGTATCAAGCACATGCCTAGGTAATTTTAAGCTAATGTTTTTTGTTTATTTTGTGGTACTAGGGTCTGAACTCAAGTCTTCAATCTTGCTAGGAAGGTGCCCTACTGCTGAGCTATACTTCCAACCCTGTTTTCACTGGTTATCTTTCAGATAGGGTCTCTTTTAATGTCAAGGTACACATCTTGGCACCAGCAATTAATTTTGAAATTCAATCTGCTTTACGTTTTCAATGTACTCAATAGGAGCTAATCATAAAATGGTATTTTAGTTTAAAAACAGGCATCAATATAGGTTAAAATACAGGTTTACAGCACTGAAACACATCACTGAAGAATCTTGAGTTTCAAAACAGACACATATTAAAAAGAAAAAAATTATACTATGAGTAAATTGCATTGGACTTAAACCTTCTATTCCCGATTCAATACAGTAAGTTCAGCTTTCATGTGTGTCCCAAGAATGAATGCTTTCTGACAAAATGGGAAACTCCATGTAATCCCTCTTCTTGGGCAATCATGGACTTTTGCTTAGTTTTAAGAATTTTGTTCAATTTTTAAAATATGGAAGTATCAGGTTAACTAAAGACAGTACACAGGCTACTCAAGTACCTCTCTCAGATCCTAATATAATATTTTTACTACACAGTTTCCTTCAGGTTATCTAGATTATGAATTGGTTTGGTGAAGTCTTCTTACCGGATGTACCACAGTATACTTTTTTTTTTTTGTTCTTGACAAGAAAATAGCATAGTTGTTTTTCAAGTTAGGTAATTCTTCTGCAGTTGTAGAGACCGATGAATTCCAAGCTTTCTGTTGAAAGGAAGGGTTTAAAAGAAGGGTTAAAAACTTTATTTTTGACTGGGCACCAGTAGCTCACACCAGTAATCTTAGTTACTTAGGAGGCTGAGATCTGAGGATCACGGTTCAAAGCCAGACTGGGCAGAAAAGGCCCTGTGAGACTATTACCTCCAAATAACCACTGAACAAAAACCAAAAGTGGTGCTATGGTTCAAGTGGTAGAGCAATAGCCTTGAGCACAAAGAGGCTCAGGGACAGCACCCAGGCCCTGAATTCAAGCCCCACAACCAACAACAAAACAAAGCAAAAAACTATTTCATAAGTGCATGTAGGGCTATAAATAAATTCACAATCACACACCAATATTGCTTCTTCATTAGAAATAGACACATACTCAGATTTTAAAATTTACATCAAATATTGATGTATAAAGCCTAATACAGTAGAAACAGTTGGCTAAATTAACACCTAAGTAAGGTTGGTGAATCTTATAAACTTGTTAGGCACACTAGGGGTGCAGTGCTGCCATAAAACTCACACATCAGAGGCTGGGAAGGTGGCTCAGTGGTAGAGCGCTTGTCTTGCATGCCTGAGGCCCTGGGTTCGATTCCTCAGCACCACATAAGCAAAAAAGAAAAAAGCCGGAAGTGGCACTGTGGCTCAAGTGGTAGCACGCTAGCCTTGAGCTGAAGAGCTGAGGGACAGCGCCCAGGACCAGAGTTCAGGCCCCATGACTGGACCCAAAAAAACGAAACAAAACAAAACAAAAACCTCACACATCAATTCTGCTTATATTTTACAACCAATAGGTTGTAATCTCAATATATATAAGGTATGTGTTCAATTATATATTATTTTGAATCATTATTAATACATAAAATAAAATCCCCAGGCACTGGTAGCTCACCCCTGTAATCCAAGATATGCAGGAGGCTGAGGTCTAAGGATCATGGTTCAAAGCCAACCCAGGCAAGAAAGTCCATAAGACTCTGATTTCCAGTGCTAATATACAGCTAACTACTAAAACAACTGGAAATGGAGCTGTGGCTCAAGTGGTAGAGTGGTAGCCTTGAGCAGAAAGCTCAGAGACAGTGCCTAGGCCCTGAGTTTAAGCACCAGGACCAGAAACAAAAATATAAACATACATACATAAAATCTATTAACCATAACTTAGAAATGTGGAAATTCTTCACTAATATATTTTTCTAAGCAAAATGAACAACACTCTCAGACATAATTTCACTGAAGACATAATAAACAGAGGCTAATAATCTAAAATTTTAATTTGCAATTAATTAATCCTTATGATATTGTACTGTTTCTGATTTACAATTTATTTATTTGCATGCATTTAATAATTTAAACTGTGTAAGCAGCAGCAACATTCTTTGCTGATACAAGGGGTAAGGGTTTTTGTTCCCATTTTTATATACTTCACTGTGTTATTTCATGATTTTATTAATAGCTACTGTCTCAAAAATCTGACACATACTAGAAAATTGTTAAAGAGATTTCTTACTTTGGTCTTTCTTGGTAATTTTAATTAACTTAAAAAAAAAGATAATGCCCCACATGCTGTAGCGGCTTCATGAAACTACCTGGTTCTCTACCCCTAGTGCTGAAGTTGGCATTCTCCAGCCTTTCCTCGGGATGGTGTTTCTACCTAGTCATTCAAAAGAAAGCGCATAGATTCAATCTGCTTCCAAACAAAACTATCACAATTACATCTTTTGAAAATGAAAGAGCCTTCAAATACAGAACATATGAGCCAGCATTATTATTGTATAGTTTTCAGATTCTGAAGCTAAGAAATAAGTTACTTTTGTGATTTTCATTTTCTTGTACATGGCACTAGAAATTTGATGGAAGGAAGTTCCAATATGGTTTCAGTTTTCACTCCTTAGGAAATAGAAGTCACCAACTTTCAGTAAAATTATCAAGGAATGTGTTACCTTTTAAGCAATTTTTGGATTTCAAAGGGGTGAACAGTTTGCAACAGACCATATTTATACTATAAAAAATTAAAAGTAAATCCAGATAACATATAACAAAATCCTACTTTCTGAAGGCCTCGGGGACTTGTGGAAATTGCTTAGAACTGCACGTGTCAACCAGCTGACTTATGAAATGGTAACCCCTATGTACAAGACCTTAACAATGACAATACAATATTTTTATGAAAAAAATCTGTCAACCTATGTTGCTTTTTCCCTGGGGGCATATCTACTAATAGACAATACAGCAAGAATCTGGTGTCACACCTCACACAGCAGTGATGCTTAGGAATTGTGAACTTATCATACTGCCTTTTTGATGCGTCAGAATGACAAAACCAAAATTTAAATATTTGCAAGAGTTAAAGGCAGGGCAAAGCCATAAAACATAAGCCACAAAATTAGGATGCAGAAGCCTCAAAGACTAGAGATCATAACCTGGCACAAAGAAGGACACTGAATACATCAAGTTCACTATGGATCTTCCCAAAGAACTACCTTTAAGGAAGTGCGACAACCAGAAGTAAGCTAAAAACTGCCAAAAATGTAAACAGCACATAGGGCTAGAGGTAGAATGCCTTCCTAGCATGTTGATGCCTTTGGTTTGAGCATCAGCACCACAAAATTGGATAGATAGATAGATAGATAGATAGATAGATAGATAGATAGATAGATAGATAGATAGATAGATAATAGATAGACAGACAATAGATAGATGGATAGACAGATAGATAGGCAGATAAATATAAAAAATGTGGTCAGCATAGTACAGGACTTGATCTGTTTCAAAAAGAAAAATATAAGCCAGGCGCTGGTGGCTTACACCTGTAATCCTAGCTACTCAGGAGGCTGAGATCTGAGGATCGTGGTTCAAAGCCAGCCCAGGCAGGAAAGTCCATGAGATTCTTATCTCCAATAAACCACTAGAAAACCAGAAGTGGCACTGTAGCTCAAGTGGTAGAGTGCTAGCCTTGAGCTGAAGAGCACAAGGATAGCACCCAAGCCCAGAGTTCAAGCCCCACAACTGACCAAAAAAAAAAAAAAAAGAAAGAAAAATATAAAATTTTTCCAGTTTAAAAAAAAAACACTATTTAGAAACTCTACAAACATTTTAGACACAATATATGTCATCTTATTAAAACTATAAGGCATTTCAAAAGACACAATATGTATATGATTAAATATCAAGTGAACAGGTATCAGGCACCAACAGGAAGTCATTGATTCAAGGCCATCCAAGGCAAAGTTAGCAAGACTCTTGTCAAAACCAATCCAGGTGTGGTGACACACACTTGTAATCCCACTACTCAAAAAGCAGAAGTGAAAGGATCACTATCTGAGACTGGCCCAGGAAAAAGTACAAGACTCTATCTGAAAAACAAAACTAAAAGCAAAAACTGGAAATACAGTTCAATTGTAGAGCACTTTGCCAACAAGCAAAAGGTCCTGAATTCAAATCTACAGTACCAATAAATATGTAAGTATGTAAATATAAATAAGGAAAATTAAGAGCGATAGATGACACAGATATTAGGGCTAGCAAATAAGTACTTTAAAATAACTGTGATTAATGTACTCAACAAAATAGAAACAAATTAAAAGAACAGTGGGAAACATGAAAAATGAATCTTTCAGGCCCGGTGCTGATGGCTCATGCCTGTGATCCTAGCTACTCAGGAGGCTGAGATCTGAGGATCGTGGTTCAAAGCCAGCCCACGCAGGAAAGTCCGTGAGACTCTTATCTCCAATTAAACACTCAGAAAATCGGAAGTGGCACTGTGGCTCAAGTGGTAGAGCGCTGGCCTTGAGCTGAGCGCTGAGGGACAGTGCTCAGGCCTAGAGTTAAAGCCCCACAAGCGACAAAAACAAAAAAGAAAGAAAGAAATGAATCTTTTCGAAATAATTCAAAGTTGTGTACCAGTGGTTCATGTCTGTAATCCTGGATACTTGGGAGGTTGAGACTGGGGACACTCAAGGGCAACCAGGAAAATATGAGACTCCTTTCTCAACCAGTTTGTAGGAGTATGTGTATGATATGTGCAATAAAACAGAAGATAGCCCATGAATCATTATTATATAGCAATTTCCTTTAACTTATTAAGCATTTTATTTACTGGCATGTAAATAAAATATTCTTTCTTTTGTCTTTATTGTTGCTACCATTGGTCACATCTGAAAAATCATATGCATCTGAAAACTGTACTAAAACACTGAACTGAATTCTGAAACTATCACTCAGCTATGGGCTTTATTATTTGCCTCCTGTCATACAGAATGCTTCCATATTAGAAAACTTGCCATTTTAAACCTAGCTGTATGGTTCATTCTCCTTAACCTTCATTTGTCTCCAAATATGTTCGTTTGTTGGGTCAAATCTGCAGGCTTTTACCATTCTGCTTACCCTGTGTGAACAAATGTGGGCATGTGCACATTTTTTTCAAGTGTTATATTTTTCATCTCTAGAACTTCAATTTGTACCTTTTATCATTCGTGCTATTTCTCTATTTAATATGCTCGATCTTTCTCCTGCTTTTCCTAAGCTATTAAATACAGTCACAACAATAACACATCTTTGTCTACTACTTCTGTTTGCAGATGTAATTTTAAAAGAACCCTATGAAGCTGGTATTGTGTAGAAAGAATATTTTGTTGTTATTGGCATATTACCTGGTAGTGTGAAGGTCCAGGAGATTCTTTCGAGATCTGAAAAAAACTTCGAGGAGTAGAAGAACCAAATGCACATTTATTATTTTTCTTTGAGCAGATATTTTTAATATTGTCAATTATAGTGTTGTGTAGGATATTATAAAATCCTGGACCTAAAATTGTAAAGAATATTATATATTAGAATAAACTTGGTCTTAATTCCTTTTTTTTTTAAACTAAGTAATTTGTTGCTTTTTTTTTTTAAGAAAAAGCACTCATATATTTAGCAAGCCCCACATGGGGCTGTGGCCAAGGGGTAGAGCATGAGCCTTCAGCAAAAGAGCTCAGAGACAGACTCAAGTCTAGAGTTCAAGTCCCATTACCAGCACACACACACACACACACACACACACACACACACACACACACACACACACACACACACACACAACATTATCTCTGGCATGTACAGCTTGTTAAGAACGTTAAGGTACATTAAAACAAACACTAGAAATGTGTATATGAATTGTATACCTGGTAATTGCTCTTTCTTGCAGATCTGTTTGAATCGAGCAGCACCTTGACCAAATGGGGTATTTTTCACTGGTGCTTTCTTTGAGCACTTGACAGGAGTTTGGATTGCATTATATGCACCAGGAGCTGGAGTGACTGATTTGGTAGGTATAAATCTCTACAGAAGAACAAGAAAATGTGTAGTGAGAATGACAGTACATAGTAAGAATCTAAATGTTATTCTGGGAGCTGTGGGGCACTCGTGGCTCAGAAGACTGAGATATGAGGATCGTGGTTCCAAACCAGCCCAGGAAGAAAATCTGAAATATTTTATCTCCAATTAAGGCTGGTACTGAACCTGTGGCTTAAGTGATAAACTGTCATCCTTGAGCAGAAAAGCACAGGGACAGTGCCAAGGCTCTGAGATCAAGCCCCAGGACCAGTGCACACATGTACACACACACACACACACACACACACACACACACACACAAGTCTGCAAGTTAAAAGAAAGAACTACATGATTATAATTTCTTTAATGAATGAAGTTATATTGAATTAGCAATGATCCTCAACATAAATATTCAATTCACTCAATAACTTCATTAAATGCTTTAAGAAAACTAATTTTTTTTTTTTTTGTCAGTCCTGGGGTTTGGACTCTGGGCTTGGGTGCTATCCCTGCGCTCTTCAGCTCAAGGCAAGCGCTCTACTGCTTGAGCCACAGTGCCACTTCCAGTTTTCTAGTGGTTTATTCTCCAATAAAGAGTCTCACAGACTTTCCTGCCCGGGCTGGCTTTGAACCACCATCCTCAGATCTCAGCCTCCTGAGTAGCTAGGATTACAGGAGTGAGCCACTGGCGCCCGGCAAAACTAAAATCTTATATTCAAGTAGTTTATAAGTGAAGTTTAACTTACAAATATATTAACATTAAATATAAACGTGTTTTATATGTACAACTATGAACTATGAAATATAATATTGTATAATTTTACTTTTGAACTTCATATTTGAAAATAATTTTAAATTTACAGAAAAGATGTATAGCACTGAAAACACCTGTCAATCTTTACCCCAATTCACTTTTATTAATATTACCATTAACTTTTTATTTGTCCTTTCTGATTGCTTCTCTTTCTCTACTCACACCAATGTGTGTGTATGCAAATATATGTGTCTATATGTATGCACATATATAGATATATATGTGTATTTCATGGAAGGTAACAAATGTAATGATTCTATACCTCTACGTACTTCCACACGTATTTTTTTTAAACAGGAATTTTTTCTTATATACCCACAATATAGTTTTCAAATTCTGTAACTATATCAGTGGCACAATACTTTCTCCCATTCATATCCACACTAATAAGTCTCATAATGCCTCTACAGTCTGTGATCGAGTATAAGTTTATATATTGCTTTTAGTCATCATGTCTGCTTAGCCTCTTTTTATGCAGGAATATTTCTACAGGCTTTCTTTGTTTGCTGACTTCTACAGTTTGGAGGAATCATATATCTTCTTTGTAGATAATAGAATCTTTCTATTTGAGGTTTATCTGATAGTTCCTTATATTTACATCTTGATTACGAACTTCTGGGAGAACACTAATAGACAATGTTTAACTTTCTCAGGGTACCACATTTGCAGATACATGGTAGCTTCTGGCCCTCGGTATTTAACCTTGATCTAATCCCACAATCCCTGCATCCTTGTCATTAAATGCTCAACATTCTACTATAAGCAAGAGCCCACTCTTCCCTTTCAATTATTTATTTCATTGTCTTTCTATCTACTTATTTAACTGCCAATTTCATATCCTTGTGGGTTCATGAATGCCAGTTTTAATGGTTTATACTTTATTTTTTTATTGTGAAAATACTGTACAGAGGGGTTACAATTGCATGGGCAAGATAATGAGTACATTTCTTATCAAGCATTGTAGCCTCCTCCTTTGTTTCCCCTCCCCATCCCTTCCCATCTTCCCCTCGCCCCCCCCCCACCCAATCCTAATGGTTTATACTTTATTGCCAAACTTTATGCCAGTGATGTGAGAGGAGAGGGCTCACATTGCTTCCTATGTCCCTTAGATAGATGGTCATTTTTTGTCTCTTTTTTTTTAGGATCAACTCTCTCATAGAAGAAGATATTACAGTTCATATTCTACCTATAATGAAACTTGTCATGTCTCAATGGAAGTCTAAGAGGCAACAAAATTACTACCATGATCTAGGTACTAGAAATGCTCCTTTGCTTCATGACTCCTTTAGCAAAAGAAAACTCCACATAAGCACACATGCAGATTCACATACATACACATTTACACAAACATGCGTACATTTACATATGCACACACACACACACACACACACACACACACACACACACACACACATACACACACATATGCAGGCTAACAATGAATTCTTCAATTCGGAGTCATATCCCAAGACTCTTTCTTATAGCTCCAATCTGTACTGATACATACCATCTTCCTCACTGAAAATCCTAGCACTCAATAACAATTTTGTGCTTAAGATAGTAACACATCTAAAGTATTTTCGTAATTGTGTCACTCATACCATTCCAATAAACCAATTAATTACTAAAAGTAATTCAGAAATGTTTACAGTTCCTACATTTTCTACCCACTTCTTAATCCTATCCAAGACTATGGTAGTCAAATACTGTGAATGTCTGGATTATTCCGTTCTTTGTTAAAGATATTATTTGGTTAAAGATATTCATTTGCAATACAATTACCCAGTCATTTACAGTCGCATTCAGTTTTAGAGGGTTTCTGGCTCTTTCCACTCTAATTTGTTTTCAATTTTTAATGTATAAAAGATGGACATGCTTCCAAAAGGCAAATATATATTGTTAAAAGTATTATCAAAGAAGTATTACTTTTTCCCATTTCCCTTCCACCCTATGCATTGCTGTGCATCCTATCCATGTGTAACATTTTGTGATTTCAGAGCAGTAACTAATTTCACACTTCTAACATAATCAACGTAATTTCAACCAACTGCAAAACTTCTACAAACAACTGACATTTCAAGGCCAGCACAGGTGTGTTTTCCCACTCCTAACCTCTTCACCACCTTCTCAGGTAACAACATTATCCTAGCTGTATTTTCTTAAAGACAGTTATGTGTATGTTTCCTATTTTCCATTCTTTTACACATAAAAGGCAGTACACTCTTCTGCACTTTGTACAATAGGTAAATATTAACATTACCCAAAAGCATGATTTATTACTAGAAGCACTAAAAACAACTCCCTAAATTTTTGCCTAGATACCATCTTATTGAGATGCCAAGGATGATGTTGAAAATGATCATTCTGAACCCCACCTAAATTATTTGAGGAGTTAAATCATTTACTGATACCTAGGGGCTTGATCCCAGACCAACTGAACCAATCTCTGAGAAGAAAAAGCAGCAGGGAAAATTGGAATCTGGGTGTACAAAGAAGTTAAGAAATTCACCCAGATAATTCTAATGTGTATCTAGTGCTGACAAGCACTGTCATATACAAAATATTATGTTTTGAACTTTCTAAATAGTTCAAGATATAAAGCAAGTCAATACATTTAGATTAACACCAAAAACAAAACAGACAACTCCTGAAATCAATGACTAAATTGTCTTTATTTCACTAAACCAGAAAGTCTGTGTCCTAAGTTTATCTCATTAATTGTATTATTCCTTTTTCTATCACAATTATTAATATATGTGTTCATATGCAACTGAACACTAATACCCTGATCAGTGCCTATGCTTGTTTTAAGTCCTCCATGTCTTTGACTTCAGAACCATTACTTGCTCACTTCATCAAAGCTTTAAACAAAACCAACATCATCTTTTCTCTCAAATTTTTATTAAGGTATATTAATTATACAATGGAGTTTTATTATGCTATTGCCATACATGCATAAAATGTACTATAATCATATTCACCACTACATTGCCATTTCTTACCCCTTCTTGTTTTCTCATTTTTTTCAATATTAATTGGTGTTATGTGATATAAAATTAGGGCTATATATCAGATGAGCAGAAATAGCATAAAATATGAGTTAGTTGTGAAACTGTATTTAAAACTCTCAAGGGGCACCACAGATGAATGGATCCAAAAATTGTGGTATCTATACACAATGGAATATTATGCAGCCATTAGAAATGACAAAATAATGGCATTTACAGGGAAATGGATGGAACTAGAAGGAATCATGTTGAGCGAGGTAAGCCAAGAACGAAGAGACAAACGGTACATGGTCTCCCTGATAAGTGGATGCTAAATCCAAAAGGTTAGGTGATACGACAAAACTAACAGGACTTAAGAAACAAAGAACTCCCGCTCATCTGGTTGAACCACTACTAAATATCCCCATGCTGCTGATCACAAACATGGTATATAACATGTGAACACTGTTATATATTACAGACTGTGGTAGACAATTTGCTCCAGGGAAGTTAGAATGAACTTGTGACTTTGAAATTATGTAATCATTTAATCACAATCAAAAAAAAAAGAACCTCGGGGAAGGGAGGGAGGGAGGGGATGGTAGGGGGAAAACAATGGAGGGGGTAACAATGTTCAAGAGGAAGTGTACTCATTACCTCACTCATGTAACTGTAACCCTCTGTATAGTAGCTTTACAATAAAATAAAATTAAAAAAAAATAAATAAAAAAAAAACTCTCAAGGGGCACACGCGCATGCACACACACACACACACACACACACACACATCCTAGCCCCTACACATCCATCTTGTGCACTGCTTTAAGTACCATTAAGTTGCTCTAAGCAGAAACCTAGTATTCATTTCTGGTTCTTCCTAGTCCCTCATGTCAGCATCTAGCCCATTAAAAAGTAATCTTAATTATATCTACAAAGTATAAGTGCCGAACTTGTCTCCAAGGAGGCCTCTTAGGTATAATGAAACCGAAGTAGTCATCTGTAGTCACCTGAAGGTTAATAACTTTCCCAAGTTAAATAAAATAACCAGAGATGTACTTAACACTGGTAGATAAATATCACAACTATCTGGAGATTGCAGCATTATAAACATTGGCCAGTACTTAAAATTGTCTTGCTTTAGAAATATGTAAACACCTTTAAGTCCCCTTAATATACTCCATGGAGATACTTCCATAATCTCCATGAACTCCAGCATCCCTGATGAAGGTCCCAGTGACAGCTGTAGATCTGACCTATTGCAACCTCCGTGGGCAACCTTGAGAACTTCTCTAAAAGATATGTGTGTCCACAGTGGTTACACTTAACCCTCTGCACAGGGCAGAGTGAAATTTAAAATTTTCTGTATTTGACACTCCCTCTCAGGTGAACTAAACTTTCACATATTCCAATTTGCTTAAATGAAAATGTTTAATAGATAGTTCAAATGCAAATATTCACCTGTATGTTATTGCTAATATTCTAACCTTATTTCATTTTACCCCCACTTTTGGCAGTATGTTTTTCCCAGGCCATCTTAATTCTAATTTCCACCTCCATTTCTAATTTTCCTTTTACAATCCTCTTAAACATCATTTACTTTGTGGCTGGCCTCATATTATGCCTATTAGATTCTCTATATGAAAATAGCTATAGACCATTACCTGTGATTGAGAAAGAAAAGCAGGGGATGCATCATTTACATTCAGTGTTGTACTTTCAGTCTTCTGAAATTGACTTTTAATTTCATATTTTCCAGGCCCTGGTATTCCCTAAATTACAGAGAGAAAGAAGTACATGTTCTCATTAGGAAACGATCTATAGCACCTAAGGGAAGAGATAGCTAAACATCTGAACCAAATCTACAGGGCTTTCAGAAAAGTCCTATAAGATATTATGAAAGCACTTCATTAAAAGACAAGCCAGAGTAAACTTAAAAGAAAATTTTATTTTCCTTAGCAAACATCTCTTGAATCTGAAAACATACTACTTGAAACTCTGCTGCCCTCTATCGGTGAGCTCAGAAATAAATTACCTAATTCTTCACATGATGAAGAAACAAATTTTGTAGTTCTTCTATTTAAAAGAATACATCTAGCTTTTCTCTTTAAAAAAAAAAAATGACTGTCTGGCCAGGAATGCAGGTATATTTCCCTAGAAACCACAAAAAAATAAACATACTGTCCTTTCAAATTTCCATTAATCAACTAACTGCCTGATGTTTTCCAAAAAATTAAGTCTCAGAAAATATTTTTATTAACTACAAATCCTAAATGTAAGACACTAGGCCTCGCTAGGTTACGTTTCACAGGCATAAGCCACTGATGCCAGTCCATATTAATTTTTTACAGCTACATTTAGAATTACCTAATGTGTCAGACATGTTAGGTTATTCAATAGGTATTTGATAGAATTCTGCCCTTATGAAAAGTTTTGCAGGTGAAAAGACCAATAACTAATCAGATTAGCTAATCACAAACTTGAAGGATACAAAGTGCTAAACAGAAAATAATAGTAGAAGACAGGGAAAGAAAAACACTGATGTTGAAATCTAAACACAAGAAGGAGCTTAACTTGTAAGGAAGGATGGAATAGCATTCCTTCTTTGGAAGTGTATGCAAAGGCCATGTGTGCTGGCTTTTCTGGTACAGTTGCCAGCACATATCAAGTCCCTAAGGAAATGTTCTATCTAGGATTAGAATGGCCAGGTTATATAATAGTTCTATATTTAACTATTTTTCAAGAGATCCACTTACTCTTTTTTTTTTTTTTTTTTTTGGTCAGTCATGGGGCTTGAACTCTGGGCCTGGGTGCTGTTCCTTAGCTCTTCAGCTCAAGACTAGTGCTCTACCTCTAGAGCCACAGCTCAAGTCCTTTCCTGCCCGGACTGGCTTTGAACTGCACTCCTCAGATCTCAGCCTCCTGAGTAGCTAGGATTTACATACATGAGTCACCAGTGCCCACCTTCATCCACTTACTCTTGATAGAGGTATGATATTTTAGATCCATCAGTTATGCAAATTGAAATGATATTTCCCATATCTCACCTTTGTTTTTAATTGTCATAGCTATCTGGTACAATTTAGGTCTTATATGTCTCCCCAAAACTCATTTGTTAAAGACTTAGTCACCCAAATCAACCCATAGGCTGCACAAGGTACTATTATATGTACTAATGTGTACTGATAAAACTAAACCATTCTTCTTGGAGGAAATCAGATCATGGGGACATGTTCACTTCTATGCTTTGGATACCACAAGTTCATATGTTAAGAGCTGGATTCCAAGCTGGTGGCTCTACTAAATCCCTGAAAGAAGTCATAGCTGAAGGGACCGTGTTTTCGTTATACCAGAACACCAGGCCACTTCAAAGTTCAAACACATTACAGTGGGAATTACAAAGGACTTCAGTGGGAATTACAAAGGACTTCTGAGTTTAGGCATTTTTAAGCATAAGTTTCACATTTCCATTCTCCAAGTTCTGAAATCCTAGTTGGACTGTAAAGGGAAATTAGATACAGTCATGAAAACATGTAAATATGGAGACATGTAAATATCTTAGATATTTACTCAAACCCCAAGTGAATAACAGCCAAGAGATCAACCTTCAGTGTTCCCATATCATTAGAAAACTATCTGAACCCAGTGGACTCAGAGAATCATTATGTTGTGACAGCTCATTTCAGTAGGCTTGAAATCATCGTGAATGATTTTGCTAAAGCACACAAAATGTACTAATCACTGGTTGAAGGATTAACAATCTTGCTTGTAATTACAGGCCCAGTGAGTTTTGGAGTAGTTTGTGATCATTGTTAATGGATAACAGAGAAACTGATCATTTGTAAATGGTCTTTGGGAGACCCAATAAGGGTTCTACTGTCAGTGCTGGTTTTGTAACACTATGCCTGTATGGACAACAGAATGCAAGGAACCTTGGCAAGAGTCCATTTGGAGCTCTGTGGTTCTGAGGTATTCATGCACATGCCAGCTTCCCTTTCAGCCTTTCACCATGAAGAATATCCTTTACTTTAAGGCTGTTATTTCTATTCTTCTTCTTCAATGAACTTCAGGAATTGTCATTTTGCTTTAGTACCTGAACCCTGTCTACCACTATTAGTACAATCATGAAAAATAACGAATTGTTGTTCTAATGCACTACATTTTGGGGTCATTGGCTAAGCAGCAACAGGTAACTAAAACTATCAGCCAAAATTTACTAAGCACCTATTTGCCAGGCAGAAATTTCAGTTCGTGAGTAAGAAAACTACGACATGAAAAAGTTGAATTATTTCCCAAAGCAACATAGCTAGCTTTTAAGTGACTAGGCCAGGTAGTATTGGTCAGTAGCCCAATCCCAACTGCCAATTTTGCTTTTCCATCCATGGAGGCTGTACTAATCAGTCCTTGTAAACAAATGTCAGAGAAATTAGAAGCCAGAGCATGGCTGGATGGAGTACTTCAATTTTGAAATGTGAACTTTGTAGGCCCTATAAAATGTCAAAGTTGTGCTATCATGGGGCTGGGAAGGTGGCTCAGTGGTAGAGCGCTTGCCTTACATGCATGAGGCCCTGGGTTCGATTCCTCAGCACCACATAAGCAAAAAGAAAAAAGTCGGAAGTGGCGCTGTGGCTCAAGTGTTAGAGCGCTAGTCTTGAGTTGAAGAGCTGAGGGACAGCGCCCGGGCCCCATGACTGGACCCAAAAGAACAAATAAGCAAACAAACAAAGTTGTGCTATCATATACACAATAAAGCACAGAGACCTGGTGCTCAGAAGTCAGGGCTGAGACTCACTTTGAAAGTGATGGGTGAATCTGGAAGGAGTAGGGACCCCCTGAAACCATGAAACTAAATGGGGTTTCTAGGAAAATTACATGGAGAAAGAAAAGGGCTAATATTATATAATATTTGTCTGATTCTGTTATCATTTTTGTAATAAAAGTTTTCATTTCAAATGAAATGTATTTTAAATGCACATCTCAGACTCAGTTCCTGCTGTAAGTGACTATCCTCATGACTGATTGAACAGAATAACGCATGATTTGGAACTATTGAAAAGAACATGTGTCTGTCACATCTGCTTGCATCATTACAATATTAATTTTGGTTCACTCGGATGCATGATGCATTCTTTGTGCTTGATATCAGGAAAAAAACCTTTTTCCATGTAGTTTTAAAAGCTTTAAACAGAACTGGATCAAATAAGCATGTTCTCTTAAGAGAACAAACTATTTGAAAAATAACTATATTAATCAACAGTTATATTGCACATGTTATTGCATAGCAGAGGCCACACTTTAGCTACATGTCACCCAAATGCGAAAACTTAATTAGCAACAGGAAGTGGTTGGTATCAAGGATAAATCATATACTAGTTAGCCAACCATATGTTCAGTGACAGAAACAGAAAACAAAAATAGTCTTTAATGTAAGTCTAGGCAAGTAAATCAGGAAAAACAACAATTAAGTGTATGCTACTAAGTCTGGTTATATATTATTTGTCTAAAGTAGAGTTGTCATGTATAGTATGAAATAGACAAACATGAAATTGAGTAAAGCTGATAAAGAATTCCATGCTTTGTTGAAAAGTAATTCATATCAACATTGGTATTGGTGATTCCATTAAGTCAAAAATTGAAAACAGCAACCCTGAAGCCACTCCACACTGCCCAATTCTTTTTTTTTTTTTTTTTTTGGTCGTCGGACTTGAACTCAGGGCCTGGGTGCTGTCCCTCAGCTCTTCAGCTCAAGGCTAGCGCTCTACCACTTGAGCTACAGCACCACTTCCCACACTGCCCAATTCTAAGGTAAAGTAAGTGCGATTAAATATGGCCAGCATGGAAATCTCACTAACACAATCAGGAATTACAAAAGCGTTTTTATTGAAAGAGGAAACATACACAAAGATAATGTATGATTTCCCTATAATTGCTATATGCTATCTGTGAATTATCTAGTAGCAGTCAAGATTTATTATGCCCATTTTGGCAAATTAGTGCTATGTAAATGTTCAGAGTTCATTAACATTTATTACTGTGCAATGCAACATGAAGTTCCACACAGAGTTAGTTAATGTGAGGATATTCTTCCTTCTCTTTACAACCTAAATTCCCTTTTTGGAGGAAAAAGAAATGTTATCATTTAATTAATAATATGAAGACAGTTAAGCACATCCAAATGAAATAATGTTAAGGGTTATAAATCTTAAATGAAGTTAAAGAACCAGCATAAGATTAATTAATATCATACTCACAAAGACAGAGAATTCAAATGCAAGCAAATAAGTGTTAAACACAAAATGGGATACTGGAAATCATTCACCTTTATCCCTAGGGGGCAGCTTTTAATCAGCTCCAATTGATTGACTGATGGTTGTTGTTTTTCTTTTTTTTTTTTTTTTGCCAGTCATGGGGCCTGAACTCTGGGCCTGGGCACTGTCCCTCAGCTCTTCAGCTCAAGGCTAGTGCTCTACCACTTGATCCATAGCTCCACTTGTGGCTTTTTCTGCTTATGTGGTGCTGAGGAATCGAACCCAGGGCCTCATGCATGCAAGGCAAGCACTCTACCACTGAGCCACCTTCCCAGCCCTTGTTTTTCTTTTTTTTGAAAAAAAAAAAAAGAGAATGAAAATCTGGATTTGTATATAAAATCTTATAAGCTATAAATGCATGTAATTAACTTACTTTTAATCAATTAATTCAATTTTTAATAAAAATACACCCATAGATCCAGGTACCAGCCCATACCTATAATCCTAGCTACTCAGGAGACTAA